AGTTCTTAAAGTGCAAGTAAAAAATGGATCTTGTGCAACATACCCGGAAGAGAAGTATTTAAAAATGATTTTAAAAAACTGCTTTAATTTTGTCACTACCACTTTCTTAAGTTGTAGTGTGAACATTAGTTTCTTTCATGGATTTTAGACTAAATCCGAATGATTGTTGTTTAAAATCCAGTTTGATATTCTATATACAGATGCATCGCTTAGATATGGAGCAGCTTTCAACACATTTGATTGTGACTCTTTTTTGAATACTTATCAGTTAGAATTTGTTAATAATATTTAGTTCTGCTTCTAAAAAAGACAGCTAGTGTTACTTCATACAATTTATAAAGTTCGTAATATAAATTTGTTATTATTAAAATTTGAATAATAATAATTAATATATGTATAAAGTAGTAATAAAGTGCAATGATTAATTATTATAAAATAGAATGTTTTAGATGTTTAAACCTTTGCTGTAAGATAATATAATCATTTTTCATTCATTTTTCGCGTGACGCAATTTTGCTTTTTTTTATAAATATAAAATATTTAAAATTTGCGATTGGCAAATAAACATTCAAGAAGAATATGCAATCAAAGTAGACAATGCTAGATGGATTAAAACCTTGTTCTATTGTATATTAGATGAATTTTCCGTGCTCTTGGTTTTTGGGGCAAAGGGCGTAGCTAGATAAGGACAAGGGGAGCACTACTCCCTCTGGAAAAGGCTCCGACTAGTTACGATATCGGCACAAAGTTTAGAAACATAGAAACGAAACAACTTTAAACCTATATAAACTTAAATCTATTAAAAATCTGCCCCCCTAGGAAAACTGTTGGTACGCCCATGGTCGCGAAATGCGTAAATTACTTTATAGCAAGTTCTTAAAGTGCAAGTAAAAAATGGATCTTGTGCAACATACCCGGAAGAGAAGTATTTAAAAATGATTTTAAAAAACTGCTTTAATTTTGTCACTACCACTTTCTTAAGTTGTAGTGTGAACATTAGTTTCTTTCATGGATTTTAGACTAAATCCGAATGATTGTTGTTTAAAATCCAGTTTGATATTCTATATACAGATGCATCGCTTAGATATGGAGCAGCTTTCAACACATTTGATTGTGACTCTTTTTTGAATACTTATCAGTTAGAATTTGTTAATAATATTTAGTTCTGCTTCTAAAAAAGACAGCTAGTGTTACTTCATACAATTTATAAAGTTCGTAATATAAATTTGTTATTATTAAAATTTGAATAATAATAATTAATATATGTATAAAGTAGTAATAAAGTGCAATGATTAATTATTATAAAATAGAATGTTTTAGATGTTTAAACCTTTGCTGTAAGATAATATAATCATTTTTCATTCATTTTTCGCGTGACGCAATTTTGCTTTTTTTTATAAATATAAAATATTTAAAATTTGCGATTGGCAAATAAACATTCAAGAAGAATATGCAATCAAAGTAGACAATGCTAGATGGATTAAAACCTTGTTCTATTGTATATTAGATGAATTTTCCGTGCTCTTGGTTTTTGGGGCAAAGGGCGTAGCTAGATAAGGACAAGGGGAGCACTACTCCCTCTGGAAAAGGCTCCGACTAGTTACGATATCGGCACAAAGTTTAGAAACATAGAAACGAAACAACTTTAAACCTATATAAACTTAAATCTATTAAAAATCTGCCCCCCTAGGAAAACTGTTGGTACGCCCATGGTCGCGAAATGCGTAAATTACTTTATAGCAAGTTCTTAAAGTGCAAGTAAAAAATGGATCTTGTGCAACATACCCGGAAGAGAAGTATTTAAAAATGATTTTAAAAAACTGCTTTAATTTTGTCACTACCACTTTCTTAAGTTGTAGTGTGAACATTAGTTTCTTTCATGGATTTTAGACTAAATCCGAATGATTGTTGTTTAAAAAATTCACAGGCTTCCCATCTTATTTTAATTTGTTCAAAAAAGTGATCTTTGTTGCTTCAATTTGTGTATCGTAAGTATTATGAGCATTATGATTTGTACCTATTACCGTTTGTGATTAGTGAATAAATTAACATTCCTTTTACTTGGAAATAATTAGATGTTGACGGTAACGAGACGAGAGTTTTAGACAAAAGACTTCGGAACTATGCTATTATTTAACATGTCTAAGGGATGAAACTGTCCATAAAAAAACATTTTTTTTCGGAAAGAAGAACCTTGTCGTAATTACCTAACCGAGTGAATCTCTGGGCCAGTCTCTGCTTAAAATTGGGACCAATTTCAATACCAGAAAGTTATTGTCCACAANTCCCTTAAAAAGAAAGTGGCCGCTTTTACTGTTTATCTGGAGCTTCATCCTTGATTGTATAGCAAGGCACATAACTAGAATCAATAGAATTACAGCCAAATCAAAGTTTTCTAAATGTACAATATGAATGTGATGCGGCCCATGTCCTGCGCGTCTGAAGGTTCATGTCAGTCTAAATTATCTATACGTTATATTAAAAACTATTAACGATAAGAATTAGTAAAATGTATGTATTCGAGACTTCGAACTTGTAAGTGCAAAAATTTTACATGCATTTATTTATATGGGTTACCATGGCGCGCGGTGTATGACCGATCGTCCCGCATTCTTTTTTATGAACGCTCTACTTCCAAATTACCACTAATAAGTATGCAACTGTAATGAAAATATTTAGCGTATAATATAGGCAGTGTCTAAAACTTTTGAACTATTTGGAATAGATATATAGTGCATTGACTTTTGAGTAATGGATTTATTTCTCTCCATTTTTTTAACTGTTTTTCTTATGCTTCTATGTATAATTTATTTTTTGGTGCCTTTTGAAGACAGCTTCATTGTTTTCTCTTTTCAGTATTTCCTGGCGATCCTGTTTGTCGCAGCTTTCTTGATGCAAAGTCTGATACTAAGTGAAGGAAAAGAGTAAGTTTCTACCTTAAAACGTATTTAAACAAATTGAAATTATATTGCAAATAATTAATCAAACTCTAATTGAATTAAATCAATAGAAATTATTAACAATTTTTATTAATTGTAAGTAATGTAGGTATGCTCGGGTCATTTTATAAATCTTGAAAGTCACATTTTATGATTTTAATTTCCTTTAGAATTTCCTGGAAGGATGCTATCTTTTGTTAAGAATTAGTGGTTTCAAGTTTATACTAACTCTCCTAAATTTACTGTTTGTTCACCACAGATTTGTAAAACTTTATTTATAAATTCTTTTATTGAAGATTCCTCAAAACTTTGATGAGCTCTGGTATCTTCAAAGTTTTAACGAGCTAGTCAGAATTTTACAATGGAAATAGGGGAAGTTTTCTTAACAAAGATTATTTATTAATATATTACATGGCTGTTTCTATGAGAGCTTGTCGCTGCGAAACATCTGACGTAAAATTACTCTTATTGGAAGTGTCGGTTATAAATAACACTTATGTCCTATAAATAAGTCAAAGTCATTATCGAATTAATATCGGTTCAATTTCCTTCAATATGCGAAAGAAAGTGAATTTATGGGTGTGAAAAGCGCATTATTAGCTGAGTTTTCTTTAGCGATAATTGGAATTGCTACATGATATTAATACTTATCAAAATCAATACGAATGAGAGATTGACTTTCACCGATAACGATTTACTGATTCTTTTCTAATTAAAAGTGAAAATCATCTTCAGTCAAACAATTTGCATACAACTGGTGACACTTAACGAGTAGGCGCCATTTTCTAAAACGGGAATTATTTATCAAACAACGATTCTATTTGTAATTAATAACATGAATACTTGTTTTATTAAACTTGTAATGTAGATAGGTGCATATTTTTGTATTTGCTATTACTTATATTGCTTCCAATAGCCTAATATTGCCATATACGAAAATATTTGTTAACTGATTAATTAAACAGTATATGTAAAACCTAATACAATAATATAAACTGGTCGTGACTTTCACCAATATTGAATTATTAATATCTCTAGAAAGCATTGCACCAGCCATATCATTTTCTTTTCCAATAGACTGTGTAATTTGACCTAATATGCACTTTTCTGAAATAAAAAGCCCCGATTGTTTAGGTACTCTATTAATAAACTTGTGTCAAGCACTACTGCATTTACGTGACAATTTTCACTCCATGTAGGTAGGTACAGGCCTGACGCTGGAAGCTGGCGGAAATTTTAAAATGGCGTGGATGCGCGGCGGAAAAAGTAGGCAGTTTTAGGTATAACGATTGCAGCCCTCTTTATTCAGTATTCCTATCAGGGGCGTAGATTAAATATTTAAAAATAGGGATCAGTGAGCAAGTAATAGACAGCCAACAGAAGAACTAATTGTTGATGTTGGTGATAGTGATAGAGATTCCCATGATGACAGTGAATGTTAAAACTAACTATAAAACAAAAGCAGTAGGTTTATTTTTTCTTTTTGGTAAGTTATGTTTCTACATTATTTCCTAGTACGCTACTGTCCTATCTTATTAATACTATAATTTACGCCTACTCAATGCCTATTTGCGTATCGGTTCCAAGTGACTTGCCCAAATAGGTCATAAATGGGCAAGTACCTGCGCGACCGCTCGCCAGCTTCCTTCGTCGGACCTGTACCTACTTGTTAGTACTATCATCAGATTTTAATAAACGTTAAGTTTCCTATCGCTCGAAGTATCCCAGCCTATTTACAACAGGCAATAATTATACAATACTAAATATTAACAAAGTATCTGTAGTGTAGAACAAAGATTCTGCCATCTTAATATGTTTCAACACAGGGTATAACAGAGCTTGTAAGGGGTGAAAGAACAGTATAAAGCAAGAAAATCAAATAAACGTAATTGGAAGTACAGGTAAATTCAATTCCACCCGCAACGCTGCACTCAATCAGCAGGCGATTACCACTATCAGCAGCATTTGCTTAGTATCTTTTTGCTCATGTAGTGTTTATTTGTCAGGTGTGAATCAGGGTGTTTATGTTAACAGTCAATCTCTTTCGTTCTTTTAAGGGTATTCAGTAGCACAACGAAAGTTTCTCAGGGGTACGCAGGGTAAGGGGAATCTGAAGAAGAAGGCGGAGATATGGTCGGAAGTATTCGCAACTAGTCGCTCTATTTCGCAAGTTTTATCAATCCCTTCATAAGTATACATGCGTACATCATTCTCCGTTTGCTTTCTGACAGAGAGTATGTTAATCGATATAAATAGCAATTTTCTTAAAAAAAAGTACTTTAGCGATAGCGATACCAGATAGGTATTGTTCAAATGAATAATTTTATAAACGAAATGACCATTTACAGCATACTATTTTCAGTGGTACTAGAAATATTACTTAAAAAATGAACAAAAATTAAACATTCGCTTCGTCATATCTTTTAAAATTGAATGAACAGTTTCAAATAGGTAAATTGTCATTATTGTAACAAACTTCACATTGGTAACGTTCCGTTCAACTCAAAATCATAGCTCTGCGACCTTTAGACAACAGTGTGTATCATTGGAAAATTAAAGCAGGGGACTGTGCTCGAAATTTGATGACAAAAGTTTTTATTCTTTTACACTAATACACTTCACTGTAACTATCAGAAAGTATGGCATTAACATGGAATCATTATTTATTTAAAATTGGAGGCGAATTTAATTTCTTAAATTACATGTTTATATACTTTGTTATATACTTTGTTAATTTTTCTGGGCTGGTGACCGACCAGGGGACTGTTTTTTACGATTTCGAATAATATTTTAATAAGTGACGGTATTTCTAATTTAATATTTTAGACTATGCACGAATTATTATTATTATAAA